TTATACCACTCAAACATTCCCTATGCATGAATAATAAATTCACTTCGACAAGTTGGCATGAGTAGGCTACTCTGGCTTTTACGATTTTTTCCATTCCAAACTAAAAAAGTTTACTAGAAATATGTTATAATAATTGTTTTAAAAATGTATGACTTCGTGAGTATAACTGTTTAATAATAACTTTAATCCTCATTAATTTATTATCCGTATTACTCAAAATTCTTCCTAAAACATCATGCTTCCTATACCATAGCTTCCTAAAGCATTCTTCTCCAAATTCTTAGCAAAACAAAGTATAATAAGTATGCAAGTTTAACTTCTTATCTATATTTTCATTTCATACAATAATAACTGTATTATAGCAATTGACTCCTACTTAGGTCCTTTTTGGGAATTCCAAACTTTGTTATAAAAAAATACAATTTTTTATTCATTTGGTATAGCACCAAAAAATCTGAAAAATTACGTATTATTTTTGGAGCGTTATGGTATCTAGAAAATAAAAACATCTGAGTATGGCATCCTATTGGCTTGGAAATGACAATAGATGAACCTATATAATTTTATATTTAAAATGACAGCTATTTTGATTCCTATGACGCCGATTTTTTCGATTGTATGATATTTTAATGTTGCACATAATTTTTTTTACCAAAGTATAAAAATTACTCAACAAAGAGTTTTAAAAAACTAAAAATGTTTTTTATTTTATGCGAAAACCTATTTCGATTTCTTTTTTTTTTGCCGATTTATGTTAGGACTTAGAAAGGATACATTTAAAAAATATCTATTTCAATGACGATCTTATGACGATAAACTAATAAACATATTATACAGGGTTGTTCACCACATACGACACGGAGTATTGTAGCTAAACGATTAGATTTTTACAAATTGTAAGTTTTGTGTTTGTTGAAGGACTATTACAGCTACAATTTAAAAATATTTTTACAAGATATAGAGTGTCCCAAATAAATAAAAAATATCAAAGTTGTATTTTTTTAAATGGAACACCCTGTATATTATTACATTTTTATTTTCTACGATTAAAATAAACGTAAATTTGATTAAGGTTTATTACACTTAAACCTTACCGTTTTTGAAATATTTTCAATTTTGTGAAATTGCAGTTAAAATGTGAAGGCTTCATTTCTCCAAGGGAATCAAAGTTTTTAATACTAAATATTTAGTGAAGCTTATTTATTGATCAATAATAAAAATTATACTACCTTATACAGAGTGTCTAGAAATTTATTTAAAATAATTACTAGTTTTAAACGGCAATACCTTGTTTAATTTAAATAGAACACCCTGTGTATTTTATGAGAATCAGATGCACAATTTAATTGTCTATCAAATTGTATTATATCATTTTTTACCTATCTCTTGAAGTTTCCGTAGAAAATTCATTTTCTTGTAATTTAGAACTCATTTATCAATATACCCATGGATATCCCCAGCATATTTCGATGATGACAGTTTAGATTATTTTTAAAGATATACCCAATTTTTAAAGAGTACAGATACTAATATTGTCGATATAGTTTGTTTATTTCATTAAAAAAACAAATAAATAAACTGTTTAATATTTGTTAAAGAGGACCAATTAATATGATCCAGTATTCAAACTACATTAATTGACTGTTTGCGTTGATTGATAATAATTGCTCCAAATACTAAAGAACTGAATTTTGTATGTGTATTAGACAGGGTGGTAAAAAGTAACACCTTAAAAATTATACTTCATTTTTTGATAAATTTGCTTATTTATAACAACAGAGATGTTTATTTTCATAACTTATTATCATATTGATTCCTGATTCAAATCCACATTTATTTACAATAATTTATTAACGAACACAATTAACTATGTAATTAATTAGTATTTGGGCGGAAATAATGGTGGTGTATTTAATTAATGTATACTCTTTTATAAAGATTTAAATAGTTTTCTTTTTGCACACAAATGTGCTAGTAATATTATAGTTTTGCTAAAAACGATAATATTACTAGTCCGTACATTTTATAAATTTGTTGTTTTAAAAACAATCTAAAATGTCAATATTCCATGGGTATATTGATGAAAGAGGTCTAAATTATAAAAAACTGCATTTTCTACGAAAACTTGAAAGGATAGGTAAAAAGAGGCATAATATAGTTTGATAGACAATTAAATTGTGCATCTGAATCTCCTAAAATATACAGGGCGTTCCATTTAAATTAAAAAAGATATTGCCGTTTAAAGCTAGAAATTATTTAAAATAAATTTTTAGACACACTGTATGAGGTAGTATTATTTTTATTATTGCAACACAATAACTCATCAATAAATAAACTTCAGTAAATATTTAGTATTAAAAACTTTGATACCTTTGGAGAAACGAAGCCTTAAAATTTTTACTTCAATTTCACAAAATTGAAAATATTTCAAAAACGGTAAGGTTTTAGTGTAATAAACCTTAATCAACTTTACCTTAATTTTAATCGTAGAAACTAAAAATGTAATAATATACAGGGTGTTCCATTTAAAAATATACAACTTTTATTTTTTATTTATTTGGGACACTCTGTATCATGTAAAAATAATTTTAAATTGTAGCTCTAATAGTCCTTCAACGAACCCAAAACTTACAATTTATAAAAATCTAATCCTTTAGCTACAATACTCCGTGTCGTATGTGGTAAACAACCCTGTATACTTACATATAAATATTGATTAGTCAAGGAACAATTTATTTTCTGTCATTTGAATTCAAAAGTAAATTATTTTTTCTGTTTATTTTTTTCTGTTTATTTTAAGTTATCTGTCATAATCGTCCATCCTTTTGCTGGACAGACTGTATTTTTCTGCATGTACTACATCAGAGTGCAACTACACTTTATGTATCTCACCGCAAATAGTTTTTTTTTGTATTTTTAGATGTGATTTAAAATATTTAGTTAAAAATAGAATTCATAAATTGATGAAAAAACTTTTGACTAGTTGCCATATCAATCACCGGAAATTTTTAAAAAGAAATATACGTTCATTTAATAGTCACAACTATATTAAACATAGGTAATACATTAAAAAATAACATGGAATATTAAGAATATTAAATACAATATTATTAATGTGTTTTATTCGTATCTTGTTTAGCAAATTTTTGACTTAAAATTCTGCATGTAAATTTTTGAGTGGGTTGATTTAGTGGCTAAAATAGTGAATTCTCCTATTTAAAAATGAATTATTATTTTGAAAATTTATGAATAAATATGTTACAAGACTATAGTTGTTATGAGTGGGTTTAAAATTTCACGTATTATTTCGAATTTAAACAAAACTGATATATTGAAGTAAGGTTTCTTAAATTTTTAATATGCATTTTTATCTTTAAACTATTCTTGGTAATTAACACGGCAATTTTGAAAACTAGAATCATTTTTTTCGGAAACAGAAAGTGTGTTCAATATAGAATAGAGTGCCAATATGATATTTTTTTTAACGATTCTGACGATGTGATTTGTATAAGAGAAACTGATGTGTCTGAAACTAGAGGTTTACATGAAGATAATGCTACTTTTGGAATAAACAAAAAATAGCATTTCTTAAACGTTCCTTTATTCTCATGGCTTTCTCGATTTAAATTTAGCCCATATGCCGACTATTTCCAGAAAATTTAGTCTGCGAAACAGCTGAGTCTGCTGTTTGCCAACAAACAATTAAGACAAACCGCGTCTCGCGGCAATAAAAAAGCTTTTTGCATGTTTTCCCCGTTGCTTCTGGCTTTTTTAACTCTCATTATCAATTGATTTATAGAAATTAATGATTCTTATTTCTGGCAGTACCCTGATGCAGGGGGCGGATTTATAGGACGACCTAGTTAACGAATTCCAAATAGCCTTAATTATAATATTCAGAAATCGATCAACTCAGTAACCGACAAATTCGAAGTTGGTCAAAGAATGCCTAGAGGTGAACAAAATAGGCAAAGAAAATAAAGTCCTCCTACTCTGGGTGCCAGCCCATCAAGTGATAGAAGGCAATGAAAAAGCAAACGATCTAGCTAGAAAAGGAGCGAATACTCTCCACTAACTGGACAAGAACCGTTCTGCTCAACTGGAAACCAACTTGAAATGGAACTCAGCCTGAAATACTCCATCCGTAGCCTGGATTGGGAATCCTCCAATTGTCTAAGGCACTCGATGAAGTTTTTCAGAATGACCGAGAAAAATCCAAGATTTTTGTTCTGATTTTGTCTGAGAAGGCAAATAAACAGAACGGCGGCCATGTCAGGATGCCTGAGGTAAATAGTATGGACAAACTTTTTCATGCAAACAGACAGCAAAATTAAAATTAAAAGAACTGAAGACCTGCATCAGGCCAATAATGACATGTAGCATAGAAATCCGAGAGTAAAAAAACAAAATCAAAAGCATGTTAAGTGTAGGTGAAATGAAGGACTTAAGAACCATTATGGGAATGATTATAAGAGACCCAATTAGGGGGGTAACACAGATATCAGACAACAATGTAGAATACAGGATGTAATAAGATGGGCTATACAAAGGAAAAGACTGGTTCGAATACCTAAAACGCATGGAAGAAAACCGGCTACCACGCATAGCTCTAGAAGGGAAACCGGTGGGTAAGAGACAGCCTGGAAGACATCCAAAAAGACGGAAAGAGAGTTGATAGTCCACCTCTCAAGAATCCATACAAAGGCAACCAGGGGCGGATAGAGAAATTTATTTCAGGGGGGGGGGTCAAATAAAAAGTAATGTAGAATATGCTTTTTAGAGGGCAATTTTTAACCCAAAAACCTAATATTTAAGCCAATTTATAGGTTTTAGGGGGTCATTGACCCATGGGTCATTGACCACTCTGTATCCGCCACGTTTTAGTAGTTTTCTAAAAAATGTTTTATGTTGTAAATATCCAATACAAAAGTCTTTTCCAGGAATGAACCCGTTACAAAGGTAGAGACATTATTATAATCTTTATGTATTTTTGTTTGCAGAATATGCCTACTGAATGTATCGCAAATCCCCTTCAAAGGGAACTTGCAGACTCAATTATACGTATGGTCCCTTTGGATGAAATAAGGATACTTTTAGCATGTGGCGCCAAAGTAAGTAACTATTACTTAATTATATATAAGTTTACTTCAGTACTTAATGTCTCAAATAAACATGTCACCAGATGTCACTTGTCGCATGTAAAACACAACACTACACGTTATGAAGTAAATCAACATTGTTACTTGAACTTGAAAAAGTCTGCCTCTGTCTGCCCAATGGGAAATCAGAGCGTCCCTGACACTGACAGTTGTGTGTGTTAATTGTCATTCACATGGTAATTGTATTTTCTGTTGGACATATTTCGTGGTTCATTCATCACTGTTTAAAATTTTCAAACAAACCTATGAGCTTTTTAATATTTGATATGATGTGATGAATGAAACAGTCACTTTCTCAAGTGCATGCTTCATTTAGAAAATCTGAAACATTTTTAGTATCAATATTGACTCATTGTCTATCATATTCAAAGAAATCGGAAGATAATTTATTTTGCTTAAAGCTATTTTTACTGATTTAGTCAATTTAGTGGAGTGCTTTAAGCTCTTATGGGATACAAACCTCGGAATTCATTTACTGTGAACGAATTTTTATAAAACTTTTTGCATTGTATTGTTAATAAGATATATTACAAAGTTTACCCATTTAAATTCGTTGCTTTCACTTTAGTATTTAAATAAACACACATATACAAATGCATACATGTAAGATGGCTCCGTATTCTGGAAAAGTTCTGTATCAGGATTCCTATTTGAGATTTTCACTACAAACCTTTTACAAAATATATGTGTAATGGTAGTTCACATTTCAAAAATATTTTTATAGTTATACAGGGTGAGTCAAATATATATCATTTATTTATTCGAGTTTAGTGAATTTGCTATAAAATTCCGGTTCCAAAAATAATTTTATACCATAGAGCATACTAAATGGTCTTTGAATTATGACCACATCCATAAGGACATCAATCTAGACGTCCAGGAACCTTCGTATGAGAACTTCTAATCGAGACGATCGACTTATTGTAAGTTATCTAAGAAACCGCCGTTTACCAGCTTTTCAAATTGACAATGAATTGCACTTAAGGCCGTACATATTAACTAACGGACTACAAAAAGAAGATTAAATGAAGCAAATCTTATGCCAAGAAGGCCTACTTCGGGACTAGAACTTACTAGATGTGTTGACTAGGCCCAAAAGCAAAGGCATGGTCTTAATGTAAAAATTACGAAAAAATATTAGTGCCTTCTTTAAAACCGAATATTTCCAACAAAAATAAAGCTAATGAGATGAACCAAAAAACAAACCATCGAGAAAGGATGTATCTAGATGATAAAATGATTTTTAAATTTCTTGCTGTTTTAACATATTTCACAGGGTGTTTCAAACGTTCACCAAAATATCAACATTTTGTTTTTCCTCGTATAATTAACAGATGGGGAGTTTCATTTTTAATTTAGAAAAAGATACTAAAAAGTCTAATAATTTGGCAACACACTGCTTAAAAAATCATCAAAATAGGCCCATTAAAATAAAATATATTAACCTTTAAAATACATCAAAGTTTTAAGGTAATGGGTACCTTAAAACTTCTTTCGTGCCGGTGAATGTATTTCAAAAACTATTCATTTTAGTCCTATATTTTTCTAATGAAACAAACCTTTATTTTTTACTAGAATCCAAAAATCAATTATTATATAAGGTGTTCCATTAAAAAAAACATAACTTTGATGTGTAACTTTTTTTGGGGGCACCCTGTAGAACTCTACATAATTTTAGAAAATGCTTTAAATTGACTTACATAAGCTCACAAAATTTCACTTCAATACAAACTTTTGTTCTCCTTGCAAAAACCGCGTCGTATATGACGCGCCATCCTGTATAATTCGATTTCAATCAAAATTTCAGTGATTAGAATATAAGCAGAATAGGTATAGCTTATGCATTAGATTTATTTATTTCAATAAATTTACTTAGAAAAAAAAATTAAAAAAATCAAAATATTAAAAAGGAAATAATTAAGAATTTACTAAAATTACTAAAATAAAAAATTAAAAGCAACGAAAAAAATGGGTAAACATTTTAGTATTTTATCTCTGAAATACAATACAGAAGGTTTCACATTAATACATTGACAGTAATTGAATTCCGAGGTAAAAGTCTCTGGGCACTCCACTAATTTAGCTTTTATTAAGTTGTATACAATTTTTTAGACACTCTGAGATGTTCTTATAAAAACGCAGTATAACATGCAATATCACCAAAAAGTTTTACGATCAACCGTGATGACTGTTTTGAAAGTGTGATGATGAAGCGTATGATGATAAACAATTTTTATTGTAGGAAATTACACTATAGTTTCATGAAATATCATTGACAGACAGCCCAGCCCGGTTCACAATAAATAATTTCGATCGTAGAGCATATCGATGGGATTATTAGTACTTCATTGGTTGAAGAAATTAAAGTTTCTTGCTAAAATCATTTTTCAACCAATGTGAAAGCAAGCAAATAAATGCAAATACTCGTAAATGCTATAAATTAAATTTTTAAATCGAATATTTTTAGATCTTTGACGTATTACATATTAAATAGTCTATTAACTAAAAATAAACGATTCCATTTGGAATAATGCTTAAATATATGAAAAATAGTTTAAAACATTTCAACTCTATGCGAGATTCTACGTATAACCACTATAATTAATACATTTATTACAGAATATTTTTGTAGTACTAAAAATACATTTCTTTGTTGTGTATATTCGTGTCTGACATGTGTTTTCCCAGTTTTCCTTTATCTTACAGGTGGCTGGCTAATTACAGTCTTTATTTTAATGTTCCAGGTTAACGAACCCGTTACTCAGGGACTCATGCCACTTCACTATGCCGTCTGGCAAAAATACTACGAAGCAGCTCAATTGCTCTTAACTAGAGGAAGTGACGTCAATGCTACAGACGAGTGCGGCTACAGCCCCTTGCATCTTAGTGCCGAGCATGGGTAAGTTAAAACAATAAGCTATTATTATGTTACGACCCTACATACTGTCTCTACATTAGTAGCACCAAAGTAATTTTACTGAATATAGTTACTAGGTCCTCCCACAAGCGTCTAAAAGCCCCGTCCCCTCTCGCAGAGGCAATCTCCTTTCTCATAGTGTCAATTCCCCTAATAGATGGAAGGGAAAAGACACTTTATCCGTCTCTGTGTTGCATCTGCAGTGTATTCTGCAGCCTTTCTATCTTTTTTTACCGCATTGAAAATTTTCTAATGCGAATAATTCCTTTGCCAAGTGTATACTATTACCAAGTAGTGATGAGCAAATATAAGACCGAGATCAAGACTCCTTTGGCCTTGGTCTTGCAGTTAATAAGTAGTCTTGGTCTTGGTCTGGATGCAATACTGTTCCATTTTTTAATAGATGTTTACTAAGGCACTTTCTATACAGTCTGTTGGGCATAGGGCTGGAAATCCCATGTAAATTTTGAAAATAATGAATAAGTTTTCCCCATTTTATTTTACAGAAAAATGTAATGAAGAACTCCTTAAAATAAAGCAAATTGTTTATTTTAAATGCTTTATATGAATTCGTTCGAGTTATGAGAGATATAAAAATGCTAAATTAATAACAAAATACGGTCCTGATTAGAGTAAAAGAGACATGCCACCTTTAAATTCAATTTTTTCCAATTTTTTGATTGCCAACCACATATTGAAAACTATAAAACTAAAAGAATTCCAAAACGAACATTTATTAAAGACTGTAAATATAAAAAGAAGATTAATATTGATAAGGATCATGGAGAAATAATGAATGAAAATGAATTCATATAAATTCATATAATAAATGAAAATGGAGAAAACTTATTCATCATTTTTAAAATATACATGTGATTTCCTATGTCCAGGTCCGCGATGCAACACACAGTATAGAAACTCTTTAAGAGTCTATTACGCTGTTCTTTCGGGTCGCTATACTTCAGAAATCTGCCTAAGGCTTAGCCCGATCCTGTCATGTTAAGCCACACCCAAAATTTCAAACACACGTGCTTTGATTAAGGTTTGCAGAGTTCAGCATTTGCCTTAAAATAGCGAGCAATTTGTTGCAAAACCATATAAATTATACCGTATGATCGAAAAAAAAACGGCGCCCAGTTGGCTTGGAAATGAACATCGTTGACATTCCCTATATAATTTTACATATAAAATGACAGCGATCTTTATTTCATAGCCATCGCTGACGCCGTTTTTATTCGATCATACGGTATATCACTGTAATCACAAAATTTCAATCTATTTCCGTATTGTAACGGAATATTAAATTATGTCTTTATTTTCGACAAGATTTAGTCCAAACATAAGGAATATTTTGTTGATCTTTGACCATCAAAATCTTAAAAATAAAATAGTTGTCTAAAAATGTGCTACAATACGGATATAGTATAATCCTTTATCTTTAATTTCCTTCTTCATTTGTGTAAAAATACCTAGCCAGTTTTATATAAAACGTTAAATGCCGAACGCTTATTTTGCTACTTTTTCGGACTAGTAAAATTGACTTTTAAGTAAATATTACTTCTAGTTATTTAATGGAGATGAAACTTTAAAGAAAGAAATTATTAGAATATTTGTTTGAGGAAAATCTCTGTTTTTCAATATATTATATCCGCCACATTATAGTTTTTATGCTTTATTTTGTAGATATACGGAATTTGTTCGGCTGCTGCTGAAATGTGGAGCTAAAGTGGATTATCGACCACAAACAAATGAAGAATTCCCGAAAACGACACACTGTGATGAACCTTTGAGACTAGCCATTAGAAACAAACATAAGGATATTGTGAGATTATTATTAGGTAATCATTTCTAATGCTATAAATATGGTACTACAGTTGGAATATAAATCAGGATTATACAGACATTATTTAGACATTTTTTTTTAATTATTAGACTTATTTAAATATTTGGACAGATTATACAGCGAAGATCGTTAAATTTAACTGACGATTGAATATAATATCTTCATTTTTGAAGTGAAACTTCTTTACGCGCGATGGGAGTAAAAATTCAAGGCCGTGACACACTAGCACAAGCTAGCGAGAAAAAAAGTGGTAAAGATCACGCAAACACAAAAAAAAACATTATAATAAACTTGAGCATTATAATCTACCGTGCTGGCAACTGTTACTTTTGGGTCGGCATTTACATGTGTGGAAGTAAATCGCACAGGGATCTTATTAAGTCGGAGTGAGAGAAATGCGACCGACCGACGCGACGCGCGACGGTGTGCTGTTGCGGCGTTGCCGATACGCCTTTCCCTATCAAGTAAAGTAAAATCACGATCGCAAATCGCTTATTTTTAAAAGACTTTTTTTTCAAGAGATAACTAGTTAAAATCAATAGACATGTTTCTGAGCATCTGAAATGGAATTATAAGGATATCGTTGGGGTGTCATTTTCTTTATAACGAGAAAACGTCAAAAATCGCGATAATTTAAAAACTCAACTTTTTAACACATAACAGGCCTACAGGCCATAACTCAAGAACCACTTTAGATATTGAAACTCTTTTTATTTTCAAGTTCGGATATTTTACAATATGTTTACATAAGAAAAATTCGATAAGGTTGTTTTTTCCATTCAAAAAATGTAAACAATCCATCCATTTACTTTTAGAGCATAGCAATTTTCAGATAAAGATTTTCACATATTGTCTACAAAGAAAATACAGCAGAAATATTAACAAAGTTCTTGAAAAAAATACAATCTATTATTTCTAATAGATTTCGAGATATCGATTTTTGAATTCAGAGTTCTAATAGCGCGACCACTATCAAACACCCACTCAATTCCACTTATTTTTACCAAAAATGCAAGTGTTTCTAGCTTGCACTTAAAAAATTCAAGCTATAGGGAAAATTACAACGACTCGTTAATAAATAAACAAATCAAGTATCACGAGACGTAATTAAATCGTGAAGCTGAACGCATGACGTACACCTTTCCCTAGAACTTTAAGTACTGACAGAGGTATTGATTGGGTCGACCGGTCAACTGCGACAAATCTGCTATATCCCCTTCAACGTCTCTTAGCTATGTGCACAGTTTCTCGGTTTATTTCATACGTTTGGCAACGTGTTTACTGTCCTCTCTTTGTTCAGTACATTATAAACGCCATTGCACTCTTCTTACATACGGAAATCTCGACCCAAGACTAACCTTTGCCAGCCCTTAGTATTATATATTATAAAGCATTATAATAAACTTGATACTGTACCTGGGTACCAATAACTTCTGGTTGTCGGTCTATATGTAATATCACTATTAAAAATACTGTCTAGGTAAAGCATTTAGCTCATTTGTTAGCTCAGAATTAGAATATTTAGAGTTAAAAACTCGTATTTTCATTGGAGAACATTGTCATATTTATTTCAAACCAATAATCAACGAGAATATTCGTACAATTTAACAAAATCACTGTAAACCACTATAAATACGAATTGTTGGTTAGGTTAAAAAAATTTTTTCTTTTTAAATAAATTTAAGCATCAACATTATTAGGCATTTGCATAGAAGTGTGTATTTTGGGCGGGATTCCACAAAATTTGCAGGGTATTGAGGAAACAGAAAATGTACAGATTACAGAAATAAATTGAAAATAACATTTATATTAAAACAACATTATACCGGGTGCGGCTCAAAAGTGGCTTACCCCTATAACTATTTTATTTTCTCAGATTAAAAATTGAGATTTGGTATGTTAATATATGACATAAATTAGGATTGATTGACATATTCAATTTTCTGTCACTTCCTGTTTCACCGGAAATGACTACAACTTTTGATTTTTAAATGGTACCCCTCGGGTTTTTATTGCTTTATTCGATAGAAAACAATACTCTGAATAGAATGACGTATCGTATGTCAACTTTGACATTTTCGAAAATGGTTTATTAGAAATTGCAACATGCGATTCATAACGACAATTTGACTCGAAATACCAAGTGTGTGGTACCAAATTATTCGTAAAAAATGCTTTTTCCAAATATGCCAATGAGCCACCCTCGTTCCATTTGAAAAAATTGAGATATGATTAAAAATACGATTTGGGCATCTTTTAACCGGCCAGGACAAGACACTAAAACATTATACCATCAAATCTATTTTTCCAAGGCTCCTTGAGTAAAAATTAGTGTTTTTAACACAGCCGTGGCACTCTAGATTGAAATTTAAAATAGAATTTGTTTTTGAGTGACTATGTCAAAAATTGACATATGATATGTCATTCGATTCAGAATGTCATTTTCTATCGAATAAAGTAAAAAAATACCGAGGGTGTCATTTAAAAATCAAAAGTTGTAGTCAAATCCGGTGAACCCGGAATTGACGGAAAACAATTGAATACGTCAATCAATCCCAATTTATGTCATATACTAACATACCAAATATCGTTGTTTTATTTGAAAAAATAAAAAAGTTATAGGGGTGAGCCTCTTGAGACGCAGCCGGTATAGCAAAAATTGCTCTGCTAGTCATATAGAAAATCAAAAGTAATTTTTAAAATAATAAATGTAACATGTATTCTTCTGTTTTCAGTATTCTTCTAGCGAAATTCTATATTTTTAATTAGAACGTGTTTTGCAGAACATGGTGCTGATCCTAACAAGCGATATTTTTTTGGTGCCGAAATTAATTTGGTAAACGATTTGGAATTTTTGGAACTCCTACTCAATTTTGGAGCCAATCCTGATAGCAGGGATAGATCAGGTCTCACTCCCTTAATGAAAGCTGTTAGGCAACCTAACGTAAGATATTTTAATTTTTTTGTTCTTAGTACTTATTTGCTTTTTTATACATATCCTAATTTCTGTTGTATTCTAACAAAAATATGATATATATGAAAGGAATATCATTTAATGTTCTTTTTTATTTAAAATTAGCAAGGAACATGTAGGTGTTTTTGAAATACAATTTTCTACTAAACGGTTTTATTGTTAGGTAATTATTATCTTATGTTGTTTCAGAATATGGAAGCTGTACTTCTTTTGTTAAAGTATGGTGCAAATGTTAATGCGATGGCTGATCAAAGACACGATTATAGAACAGTAAGTATACATTTTAACGATTTTTTTATAAAAACGGCTACTTTGAATTTACGCTTTTTAAAATGAGGTTCTCTGTTGACAACCCGAGCTTCCGACCACTTTTTATTGTGCTGTTTTGAACAAACATGGTCTGCAATACCTGACTTCATTATTTCAACCTTTTGTAAATGTTTTTTATGCTCTCTAGGGAGAGCGCCTACCAAAGTGACGTAGCATATGACGTTGCACATACATGACAATGATATGGCAATAGCGTTGCATGATTTTTCAGGAAGCGCACATATAAGTGATGTGGCAGTGGCGTAAACATGTCATTCTCAGAGGATGAAGATTTGTTAACAGTTGTAAACCTAATTAATATGACCCAAAATTATCCAAAGCGTCGCTATTGGATACACCCCTTTTACAAAAAGAGACAAAGGAACAGTGGATTTAGTGTTTTTAAGTAATTGAATATGGAGGTATCCGGAAAGATTTCAAGCATTTTATAGAATGAAAAAATAAACCTTTAATGTGCTAGCTAGAAAAGCGTCAATCAGTGATACAAAACGTATATTGTCCGAATCGTCCTTCATTTTTACCAAATTCGAGTAACCTGTTAATAGCACGTGGCAAAAAGTAGAACCAGTTCTATTTTTGAAGCAGTGGCGTGGCATATGCTACAACGACAAATGACACATTTCTGACAGCGCTACTTCAGTGGGCGCTGACACACTTATTGTCGTTTGTTCAATTCGACGTAACTTTTAGATGCATGTTACTTGTCAGATTACATGCCACGTCAGATGCTATGTCACTTTGGTGGGCGCTCTCACTAAGTCGTACATGAGGATGTTTAGTCTCTCCATTACACGACTCACCGCATTCACAAGATTCCGGCCTTGTTTTTGTTAGGACGCTTATCCAGTCTATCTTCCAGTCTATCCAGAAAAGAGATCTCTTTGAAGACAGTTTTAATATTGTATTTTTGGCTATTCGCCTGATCGTTTGCTGACGTTCCTTTTACATATGGAATAGTAACAATGATAATTTTCTATAGGTACTTCTTAGAATAACCATTCTGAAGCAAATTGTTTTAATATTATTTAATTCAACATTTAGCACTGCATATGGTGTTTATGGTGTTTGAAAAAAAAACACATACAATGGAACTCCGGAATTCTTTTAGTTTTCATACTGAATTATTTTCACATCACATTCAAAGAAACGTTTAACAATCATTGATTTACAAATATATTTTTCTTTCTTTAATTTATTAATTACGATTTTCATGTTCTAGGTTTTGCATTATGCTGTGCTGTCTGGAAATATTGATATTATTCAACTTATCATCAAACAAGGCGCAAAATTGAATTATGACGAAGATTATGATTTAGGAAAACCCAGTCCTTTAGACCTGGCAATCTTAAAAGGAGATCCGAAAATTGTAGAGTTTCTTATTCGATCAGGTAAATATTGGTGTTATAATAAATATCTCATATTAGGCACTTCAGGTAGTGTTTAATATTAAAGCATTTTTGGTTTTACAATAGTTTATGTTTATTGTTTTGATATTAGATTTAAAAGTATATAAAACTTTATATGGAACACGAATATAATAAGCGAATAGCTGTAACAAATGAAGGGTCCGGGGGAAAAACATGATGATAAGCGCCATTTTACTAATTTTACAGGAGAACACTGGACGGCTTGCGGTTATCAGTTTTTTTCCGAGTATTCTAGATTTTTGCTAGGCATATATCACAGGATTTAACAACTTATTGCATTGCCGAGTTTATACATTTTGTCGGGACCAGTTAGACCTACTATAATATTGTAAAATCCTAAAATTAAGAAATTGGCGCTTATTAAGTTTTTCGCTTGTACATATACTACGTCAATAACTCACGTCATATTCAGTTTAATGTACCCGATGTATTATAAATTTGTTTCAGGTGCTAATGTGAATTTCAGTTCACCCATTATTGGATCACCATTACATGTGGCCTGCGCGGATGGAATTCCAAATAGATATGACATATTGCAAGTGAGTAATTTATAAAATTTTGCCTTAAAAAATAATGTATTTAAGTACTATCAATTTATTGTCTGAAAATAATTGTCAATAGAAAAATTAAAAGTTCAGTCAATAGAAAAAAATGCTATTTCTTCAAGTGACATTTTCTTTGAGAAGGTTGGTTATCATCACAGATATTTATATCTTAGATGATGTATGTACCTCTGAATCTCTCAATGCAACTGCAATTGTGCGATTCCCTCAAATTGTTAAAAAAAATGGAAATACAATTACAAAAATTAGATCAGTTTAAAAAATATTGCTAAACAATGATAAAGAAGTCTTATTGAATATAAATAAAATAGAGTATAAATTATAAATATTACTTTTAGATGTTACTGAAAGCTGGTGCAGACCCCAATTTGAAAGTGTTCAGCGACGAGTTTGATCCGAATTCACAATTGCGTCCTGTTCTTGTTGAGTACATAGCAAGTAACGAAACCCCAAATTTTGTCGTGATTAATACGTTGATAAAATATGGATCTAAGGTAAGTTTATCTTCAAACTTATAAAACTAATATTTATATTTCTACCAACCATTTCACCGGAAAGACGTATCATATGTCAACTTTTTTCAATTAAAAAATAGCATTTTTAATTACAATCTGGAGTAATTTTTAATGAAGGTGCTTTGGAAAAATAAATTTGATCCTCTAATGTTTTTCGTGTCTTTTCTTGGCCGGTTAAAAAATGCCCAAATTGTATTTTTAATCATAATTATTATTTTTCAAATGGAACGAGGGTGGCTCATTAGCATATTTGAAGGATAAGGGGAAAAATCGGCGTTGTCCATTTTATGGAATTTTCAAGTAATCGACTTAATTTGTTGAGAATACCATGTCCTAAACACACGTTAAATTGTAATTGAATATACCAAACGATTTCTAAATAATAACGCATACAGGAATAAATTTTTGTTTCATGGCCTTTGGCAATATTCTTCTTCTTCAAATGCCTTCTTCGTTGTGAACGTTGGCAATCATCAGCGCTATACGTATTCGTGACACAGCCGACCGAAATAGTTGGTTTGTGGTGCACCCGAACCAGTCACGTCAAAGTAAGTTTCTCATCCATGAGTGGCGCCTTCTTCCTACACTTCTCTTTCCTTGATTTTTTCCTTGTAATATCAGTTGGAGTAGGTGGTACTTTTCTCCTCTCATGACGTGTCCAAGGTACTGAAGTTTACGCTTTTTACCGTTATGATAATTTCTTTTTCCTTTTTTATTCCTTTCAGGATTTCCATGTTGGTCACTTTATCGGTCCATTTTAACCATAGATTTTAACCTAAGTATTCTACGGTACAACCATATTTCGAATGCCTCTAGTTTCTTTATGTCAAGTTTCTTCAGAGTCCAAGCCTCTACACCATAATACAGCACCGACAAAACATAGCATCGCACCATTCTGATTTTTAAATCCAAGCTGAGATCGCTGCCACAGAGCACTCTTTTCATTTTCACAAATGTTGTTCTCGCCTGTCCTATTCTAGTTTTAATTTCTTCAGAACAGTCGTTATTTTTATTTACAATTGTACCTAAGTATTTATAACTGTCAACTTTTTCTATGGTGTGGTTATTTATATGAATTTGTGAATTGTTTTGTGTTGTTTTGGATATTATCATAAATTTTGTCTTTTTTACATTTAGTGACAGTCCGAGCTCTTCACTTGGCAATATTAAGTTATCCATTTCTCCGTATGTCGGTTTTGTGACATAGTTGGTTTAACCCTTAAACCTTCATTTGACAAAAGTATTTTTTTTTAATAATTTGATACCACATACTTGGTATTTCGAGTCAAATTGTCGTTACATGTTACATTTATGGACGTGACACTCTAGATTGAAATTTAAAATACTATTTTCGTCATTTTTAATTATCTAGAATGTAATTTTCTATTAAAGTAAAAAAAAATACAGTTGAGTGTTGGAACCTTTGGTGTTACACAGCAAAATAAAACACTAAATCACCACAATACACCAAAACACTTTTACTTTTACACTGGACGCGCGTTTCGCTAACCATGTTAGCATCATCAGCAGATGATTATAAACTGTTTATAATTGGTTAGCGAAACGCGCGTCCAGTGTAAAAGTGTTTTGGTGTATTGTGGTGATTTAGTGTTTTATTTTGCAGTAAAAAAATTACTAAGGGTACCATTTAAAAATTAAAAGTTGTAGTCATTTCTGGTGAAACAGGAAGTGAACGAAACTAATTGAATACACGTAAATTAATCCTCATTTATGTCATATATCAACACACCAAATCTTTTTTTATCTGAAAAAAAATAGAAAAGTTATAGAGGGGTAATACCTGGTAGAGCTAATCAATTTATAATTTTTTATTTTACAGGTTGTGATGAAATCACAATTCAGAGATCCCGACGGCATGTTGAATTGCTTACACAACGTTGTTTCGAACGACGCAATATTCTTCCTGCTCACGGAAGCGTGCGAGTCCTTCGATCCGTGCATGATCAGAAGAAACCAAGTGGTGAGCGATCAACAGAAGACGACCTTGCTAGAATTGGCAAAATATCCTCTCACACTCAAGAAACAGATTAGACTCTATTTGAGAAAGGTTCTGGGATCGAGACTGTTGAATTCCGCGAGCGAATTTGATATTCCCAGATGCTTAAAGAAGTATCTTCTTTTCGATTATAGTTGAGAAATTATTTGTGATCCGTTGGTAACTATTGGTGATTCATATCTCGTGATATTTACTAAAGTTGAAAGATTTATTTTGTGATCGGATGCACAAATCCGTATTTTTTCTCTCATTTTTTAAACAATATTGGTATTAAGAAATAAATTGAATTTTATACAAATAAAAAATTTGTAAACTAAAATTATTTTGAAACAAAATGCAAAATTAATTTTTATTTTATTGGACCTTTTGACCACCTTGATTGTTACTGATAACACAACTAATGTTTCAATAATCCTTTGTACACGTATATTATTACTAACAACTAACAACTAACAAACTGTTTATTTTGTGATAATGTTAATTTGTGTTGTGTTTTTATTAATTATCATAGTTTTATTAAACCTTTTAAACATATTTTGGTCATGGACATGATTCAGCTCATTCAGTAAGTAGATTACTAAAAAAATATGGTTTGAAACTCGTTAAACCATCGTTAAACCCTTAAAAAATGTATTAGGAACTTATATTCTATTAATAATGAGTACGTATAGCATTGTATGGAACTTATTTAGCAGAAATTCCGTAATGCTATGTGGAAGAGTAATTTAAAAATTTTTTTTGATATGAAAAATATTAATAAATTAAATTCTCATTTTCATTTATTGCAAATATATATATTAGAGAAGTTACTCAAATTACTAAACTATTTAATTAAATAACTAAATTATTCCTAAGGTAAAAACCTCAGACTAAAAATTGATCATAAGATCATAAAGGTGGTAGAATAAGTGCCCATGACAAAAATTTGGTAATTATCAAATTTTTTTATCGCTAATCATATATAATTTATCATTATACTGTATTGTGTGTTATTTACTAAAAGACATTTAACTATACGTTAGTTGCTTAGCATCAGCTTAAAGAGTAGACTAATATTTAAAGTGTTTTAACTTATACTAACATATTTTTTAAGTTTATGCCATATTTAACACATTGACGATTTAACTATACATAGAATTTTCGTATAATAAATTTGTAGTTGCTTTGTTAAAATATGTTTTAGAATGCTTGTAACTTACTAGAGAATCGTGCCATATAGCATTTAGTTTATTCATATAATAATTATTATCATTTAAGAAATAACAAGCTTCGAGCAGGGTGTAAACTGAATCTAGTCGATCTATAGCCCCGCATACACCAGAAGATTTGACCTGCGGATATTGTCCACGAACTTGGCTTGTCGCACCGTAACAAAACTCTAGTATTTTGGTCCACGGACATGGTCTGGGACAAAATTCGACGTTTTGACTTTTAATATCAGAGTTGTTATATAGATAAAGGTTTTATTGGAATAAAAATAGTCTCTTAGAAAAAAGAGCGCTACAGGTCCGACTTTATCCTTCGTTTTTTCAGGCCAATCTAATCTCACAGATCAAGTCCGCGGATTTGGATCTTGACATATGTGTATTATCCGATGCTTATCGAATTTGTAACACATATAATGACTGTTTAAACATAACTTGATATTTCCGATGGCTACCAAACGCTCACCTCATTCGTCTCAGTAAATATACTTCTTCATAACTTCATAAACTAACTAAAATTGACTAATCAGAACGCTCTAAATAACGGCTTGTCTTGTCCTGTAATAATTTACACATCACATAATATTTATCGATTTTCATGCCTTGTTTAATAATTTGTTTAAAATAGAGAGTACTTTGTTTAACATAAAACTTTATCTGCTTCAATTAAATTCTTAACAAAACATAATATGATATAGTAAAAGGAATGTTATAAAATATATTTGATTGTTAAGTACTTAAAAGTAATTTAAATGTTATGTGTATAATTTTATTTATATAACTCAACTAATACATTTTTAATATAATTTTATTTTCGGAGGTGGTCAAAGTTAAATAAAAGTTATTAGATTAGGTAATAAATAGATACCTAACTAATTCTTTATTTTCAAATTTTAATTTATTAACTTATAACCATGAAGTATGTACCATGTGCGTACGTGGAAGGAAACGAATAATTCCTCTCAATTGGTATTATAGGTATAATAACGATTTCCGATATTAGATTACTTTTGTATTGTAGTTTTGTATGTTTTTATTTAAGAGATTTGTATATTTGTACTAAATATAATAAATATGAAAGATCGAAAAAACGCAGTTTCATATTCTATACTCTATTTTTAATAATGATGAGAACTCTATGAGAACAGCCTATTCATTAGATGGCCAGACTTATTTTTATTTACATGGAACTCTTGCGTATCTACCTAGATATTCGCTTATCTTATGGTGCGTTTAGCCCGTGGTTACATTGGATGCGTTTCCGTGCGTTTTTATGGTCGTACATGTTTTGACAAACTCGACACACAGGACACCACGAACGCGCATCTAATGTAACCACTAAAATAAACTAGTCGCGCGAGTAAATTCTGTCAGAGCTCACACGTTTAAAAAAACGCACGGACCTCCGTCCAATGAATTTGCGGGCTTGACTTGAGCACGCACGCACTCACTGATCCTTCGCGAATGCTCAATTGTAAACGGCTGTGCGCGCACGCTCACTCTGTGTGCGCGAACCGCGAACGCTCAGTTTGCATCGGCAATTTGTTTTGTCTCCGTGCGTGCGTGCGTGTGTGATTTTTTTCGTTTTCTTGAATAAAATTATTGAGTGGACTCACGAATCTTTGAAATTATTGTTAATACAAGAATATGAAAACTATTTAAAAAGTTATGAGATGTAAAACATTTTGCGTATTATTCAAAAACTAAAAAAAATGTATATTAATTGACGCACAAAATAAAAATGAAAAGCCGTTTTCTCCATGTAATAATATTTCCACTACATTATTACATGCATATTATATGAATACCGAATATAGATCTACTAATACCCCATCATCTGCTTCTGACGTCATTGAGTCCGATGTAAACCCCAGAAATTTACCTACAGTCGCTCCTTCGGTAATAAATAGGCGATGGAAGATTTAGAAACTTTTAAAAAGATACTGTAGGCTGCTATACGAGTCTCTACAATCTAAGGTATTTACTTGCCAAGAAACAAGGCTCAGCGTTCTCTTGACGATATTGCTATTCTAAATTTGTTATCTTTTTTCGTAATATTCGGTGTAATTAAATTTAGTAAATATTCAAAGTCGGGTCTGGTCATTCTCGTAAAGTTTTTGAACTGATATAGCCCTCCTCTGCTGCCATAGCTCTCCTTTGTCAAAAAAATATTGATCGGTATAGGAATGGTATGCGACAACTCTGCTGTGCGCGCACAAACGGATCACTTCATTCGTCGAAAAATAAGTTTTTAATTTGGACGGAGCCGCGAGCGCGAACGAATGCCGTGCGTGTACGCTCAGCTCGTGCGTGCTTAAGTCTAAACGCACCTTTACACGCTACATGCTACAAGTTCATAATACCTACTTAAATATAATTGGAGTGACGGAACGATGACCTATGACGATGACGAACGACGAACGACGCATTGCGGATGCATATAAATTCAGCTTTACTTATTTTTTGGTACATGCTGTATAATCAAGCAACTTTTGAAGAAATACGCCAAATTGAAAAATGTTGCAGAAAAATATCTGTATTACCAAAAAATCTTATTTTTTAAAAAAGCAATCACGTCCTCCCTTTTTCCTTTTTTACATTTATTTTACTCTATTATCCTTGTTGTACACATGTTGCACACCCTGTATAACTGTATAAACATATGAACTACCTAGAACTACCTATGGGAACTACTATTGTCAAATTTGACATTTCAAATTTGATCTGCGGGTGTGCCCTAAGGGTGTGCCCTGTGTTTTCCTCGTGTACTAGATTAAATAATTAAATTTGATATATCGTTTTTAAAAGTGTTAATACGTGCAACATATCGTAACTAATAAATGTGTACTTATAATCCACAAGGTTATCAAGTATTAAGAATATTACCCAAATGCGATTTGAGAATTCAGCGTAGGTAGGTTATGTCGTTATGTTTTGCTTTTGGTATGTAAATATTTACATATTTTTATAATTCTTGATTTAAACTCTTGAATTTTTTATATTTGTTAGCTATGCCATCCCTTAGAAAGAAGTTTACAAGTTATATCAGGCAATTGAGTTTCCATAATGAGCCTAGGAACAAAAGAAACAACATCAATGAAAATGCTTTTGTTACAAAATATCTACAAGGGTAAGCTTTAGCACTCTATTTTAAACCCTTATTCGAAACGTCGGTTATGCTAGATTTAACATGGGTTAACTGAGTTAATAATAAATAATTATCTGGTTCGTATATTATAATAATAGAAAATATCTTTTCATCAGACATATTGCTCTACATGAAGGTCCACAGATAATATATGGTAAGAATCCCACTGATTTGCCCAACTACGAACTAGGAAAATATGAGAGTGGAGCTGATAGTATAATTGGCTGTTACTCAGGACCAAATGGTGGCCTCACTACTGTTACACGAACTGAAAAACATCTTTCAGTTTTGGCAGATGACATTGATTTTATCGATACTCCTGAAGAGGAACCTGGTAAGTTTCTCAGAATAATTTAATACAAATGTATATGTATCCTATAAAGTTATAATTTTTATTTATTGATATTTCATCCTGGTTTATTTTATATTCTAATGAGATATGGTTGTACTAAAATATAAAAAATACGAAAAAATGAAACATCAAGTTAATAAAATTATTTCAGTATCTCCACCAAAGCCAAAAAAATCCCCAATTCAGGTAAAAGGACAACCCATAGACAATACAACTATGGTAATAAAGGTTGCTGGACATGAATATTGTGTTACCAACAAACCAAAGAGACATAGTAAGAGTTTCAGTCTAGGTAGCATATCAGATTTTGCTATTGAAGTTGAAAAGACAAAAATAGATAAGGAATTTTACCACTGTGATAGTCAAAAGGATGAAAATTCGAATGACAACTCAATTTACCAAGAAAGTGAAACCAAATGTGATAGAAATCAATTTAATGTAGAATATAGCGATGGTTTGTCAAGTAAGATTAATGGTAAACAGTCAGACATTGTTGGGAATAACTTAACTAACATCAACTTAACTAAGGATGGAAGTGTTAGTTGTAAAACAGAAATTCAGTCTAATGAAAACAAAGATGTTAGAAGTCATAACAGAGCAAGTGTAAAAGAAGGAAAAAGTAGAAAAGCTGATACTACAAAACCGACAACTCACAAAACTAACAATAATACAAAAATTAAAGTTGAATCGAAAGTTACAGAAAAACATCCTGCAAATAAGAACTATGCTCTGTCAAAATCTAAAAGCGATGGGAATCCATTTCATCATAAGAAGAGGGGAAAGATTATTCATATGCAGCGGCCACAGAGTTATAGGGGTATTAATATTTTGGAAGCATGGGAATTGCAGTTTGATATATTTTTTTCAATGTGGTTTTTGCAATCATTGTTTAACTACACTTTTATAGTTTTGAGCTATTTTTACATTTTTGCTAAAGGCTTTGCTTTTTTATAATATAAACTTAATTTAATTAGGCATTAGTTTTATTTGGTAAAATTAGTTAAATAATTTTGTATATTAACTACAAAGATCTTAGTGAATGCTTAATATTAGTGCTAACATTTAAGAGAAACATTGTGTGTATATTGGAAAAAGGACTAATATATATTTTTAGGAAAAAGTTTTTATGTTGATTGCATGAGTATATATATTTCATTTTGTATTTTTAACTAAATGGTTTGGAAGGAAATGGTAATTACTTATTTTATATTTATATACATGGGTTGACATAAGCATGAATAAGTAAAATAAATTACTAAGGGAAATTCTAAAAAGTTTCAATTTTAGTTAACCTTAGTTAACCTCCATAATAAGTGTACCGTATGATCGAAAAAAAAACAGCGTCTAGTTGGCTTGGAAATGAACATCGATGTCATTCCCCATATAATTTTTCATATAAAATGACAGCAATCTTCATTTCATAGCCATCGCTGATGCCGGTTTTTTTCGATCATATGGTATTTAGTCTATGATTAATATAACATAGTGACTTAATATAACTTTTCAATTTCATAGTAGTCGTCGAATACTTGATTTAAACTGATAATCAGTAGGAAATTTAAAGAATGATAATTATAAAATGTTTTTTTGCTAAATGGTCTTATGCACTGTTTTTCTTGCTCTGTTTTTTTTTTGTTTTGTTACTTACTATAATTACCTACATTATATTAGTCATACTATAATTACATACATTATAGATAAAAGTTATGTATGTCATACACCTGCACAGTTTGTCCAGCGAGAGAATAACCGTTTTCAACAGACTGCTTTGAAACATTAACAGCAAAAACATTTTACTTTTGAATTAAAATGATAGATAACAGCTAACGGTCACATTCTTTCGTTGGACATACTGTGCTTGGTATAGCAATTGAGCGAATTCTTTTTAACATTGTGTTCTTTCATTTCCAACTCAACAAATATATTATTACTGCTAAAATAGGCGATATTGGTAGCTTTTCCATAATGCATAACTCAGCATGATAAAAACGGAATTATATGTATGATTTCTTTTGAACTGAAAGAAAGACTCTTACTTAGTCTTAAATCTACTTACTTAATCTTAAATCTTACTTACTCATAACTGCTCTTTTGAAAGAGCAGTTATGAGTAAGTTTAGTATTTGGCAACAAGGCAAATATTGTGTGTACAGTTTTACTAAAATTTGGCACTTATCCTCATATTTATGCTTCTGTTTTGGTTTACTTTTCCTACTAACCTTTTTTTTTATCATTTATTGGACTTCGTTACCATACTTATCATAAAGTTATCTTTCCTTCCAATGTTGCTCTGCCGAAAATATTAGCGCACTTTTATGTTACATATAGCACTAGAATAGCATTTCAACATTATACATATTTGTTGCTTGATATTTTTTGTTGCTTTAATTAATTCAATTGTAGCAAGAAACTTTTTAGATGACGATATTACTGAAAAGATTGGCTCAAATGTCGATGATTCTGCATTGCCTTCAGAATGGAATATAAAGACCGATTCTTTTTATGGTTTGTCGGATAGTTTGTACGATCGCAATCAAGTGACAAAATCCAAAAATGGTGATCCAATAGCGGACTGTTTTGGTCTTATTGCTAGAAATGATTCCGCTATATTAGCAGTGGCGGATGGCGTTAATTGGGGTCAGTTGAGTGCTTTTATTTTAATAATTAAATTATTCTACAGGGTGGTCTGAACTGTATTCTGGAAACTTCGGCAGCATATTCTGCAGATCAAAATAAGTAAAAAAGTTCATATAAATGTATGTCCTAAAATGCTTAGTTTCGGATATTCAGGGTGTAGAAGTTTCATTTTTATTTCGATTTTTTCCAAATAATTTCTGCAGTAACGTCAATATTTGGATGAAAATTGGTGTCTGGATGTTTTTTGACATGAAAACTTGATTTTGATGTCAATATGACTCCTACTAGTAGAGGGCGCCACCTACATATTTTTTAACTGGTTCAAGAGTAATACATTTTTGTCCGTACCTGTATAAAACTACTGAGTAAAAAAATACACATTTACTTCTATTTTTTACTTCTATTACACTAAAGTGCTTCCCTTCTGACTACAGGGTGTTAAAAATTAAAAAAAAATCGATATTTTGCTTGACATAAATGGTACACCACTGCTTTTTTAAAGAAAATATATATTTTTCTTGGCTGGCCATCCTTTTTCAACAAAAATGATCTTTTGAGTTTTTCTTGTTCATCAAACGGTTGCCGAGAAAAAAATAAATGTACCTATTAAGAGCCCGCCTTAAGCCGTTTTCTAACGTTTTTTTATTTTTCAGATTAGTTAGGAAACACCGTGTATATGCATATCACAGGCAACCAAATAAACTAGTAACCTTTAAAAATTATTTTTCCTACCACTAGCGACATACCGTGTTTTTAGTGAGTACTAAATTATTTTATCAAAATTTCACCATATAAGTTTCCAGGCAATGATCGAAATTATCAATACCTGTCATCATTGACATAAATTAAACATGTTGACTAAATAGTTATTAGACTGAGATCATAAATTTGGAAGTTTTTGTGCCCCTGTTTTATCATTATTTTTTAGCAGAAAAATTTTTGATTAATTTAAAAAAATAAAAATTTCACATCAATCTTTCACTCAAATAACTATCTTCTCCAAGTGATTATTTTTTGTCAATAATGACATGTATTGACTATTTCCATTCTAAATATCTTGGGAAGGGTTCCTCGTATCGATTTTTACCAAGATACATTTTTTACGTCAAAAATCACGAAAATATATATTTTTTCGCTAAGTCGTTTTATACAGGTACGGACGAAAAGTTATTACTCTTCAAACCAGTTAAAAAATATGTAGATGGCGCCCTCTACAAGTAGGAGTTATATTGACATGAAAATGAAATTTCTCATGTCAAAAAAACCCCAGACACCAATTTTCATCCAAATATTAACGTTACTTCAAAAATTATTTGGAAAGAATCGAAATAAAAATGAAACTTCTACACCCTGTATCTCCGAAACTAAGCATTTTAAGACATACATTTATACAAACTTTTTTACTTATTATAATCTGCATAATATGCTGCCGAAGTTTCCGGAATACAATTCGGACCACCCTGTATACATTATTGTTGCGATATAGAATTCACAGTTTATGTTGTATGTCCCTGTATAAGCTTGTTGTATTCTCCACCGGCGACACTGTATGCCGCTTTTTATTTTGTCTCTTTGTCTGTCAACCTGTCATTTATATTTATCTTTGTCGCATGAATTAAAATACAGACCGCGCAGATGAAGTGACAGGGCTAGTATAGTAATAAAGTAAAATATTTTTTTATATTTCTTAAGGTATTCTATTTTTTTTGTGATTTATTTAAGTTACACATTTACTTTTGGTACCCGAGAAGATGAAGACTATTTTGGTTGTTTGTTTACTAATAAAATAGTTAATTTATATAAGTTGATTTTAAGGTCTTTAATTTTTTTAAGGTGAAAAGGCCAGTATAGCAGCTAAGTCTGCAATTCACGCTTCACTCCATTATCTCAATAAAACAATTTTTAATGACACAAAACCATTTGAAAAGCTCACTACCAAGACTGACGATATATCCTCAACCAGCAGTACAATAAACCCAGATGTTAATACTAGTTTGATGATGAACACTAGAGAAGTTTTTGTATGTTTATTAAGAGCTTTTAACTGTGCCCACGATCTCATTTTAGAAAATAAGGTAAATTAAATATATTTGCATGAATAGTTTGTTTATATCAATGGATATTGTTATTGAATCTCCAGGGTATGCTAACTACATTAACTGTAGCAGTAATTCTGCCATTGAAACAAAAAAAATCGTCAAGGACTGAGAATGGTATAAAATTACACCACCAAGAAAATTGCTATGTTTGTTGTGTTTGTAATGTTGGAGACACATTAGCTTATGTATATTCACAGAAAAATGGAATAAGAGAATTGACAAAGGGTTTGTTCTCTATACACCACTAAATATTTAATAATTTATTTATATTTTGTTTAGGTTCTCATGATGTTAATAGTAATCGCGATATGAGAGACGCTCTAGGTGCTTTAGGTCCTGTTGATGGAATAAATCCTGAGTTAAGTAACTTAACATTATCTGTAACTACTATAAATAAAGGGGATATCATATTCGTCGCTAGTGATGGTTTAACTGATAATTTTGATCCAAATGTATGTAGGTTTACTGTAAATTCTACGGTGGACCAAAGTAAAAATAAGGTTAAAAGACCCATGGCGCTTCATCAGCAACAGGATAGTTCAAGTACAAATCATCCAAGTCATCAGAATTCTCATGAGTTGCAAAGTCAGGTTAGTCTCCCTACTCAGAGTAAAGGAGATGATAAAGTTCAAAAACCACCAGTCAAACCTCCAAGAAAAAGCAAAACGCGTGGCTCAATATCTAGTATAACGCCATCAGAAAGATCTAGTTCTTCTATAGAAAGTTCTAAGTTAGCCGTTAATGTGCAATCTGGTAATGTAGTTGACCAAAATGATCGTTCCATAAACACACAGGAAGGTCTAATAAACACTACCTCATTTGATTTAGAGACTGAAAATAAACCTGGCACTAGTTTAATGTCTCACCAAGCCACCTCAGTAAAAGGAGATTCTCTTCCTGACTCTAAACACTCAAAATCGGAATATAAAAAGCCTCCATCAGTTATTGAAAATAAAGCCAGTAGCCTCAGAAAACAAGTTTCTAGTCAAAGTAGAAATGATAGTGCAAGGAAAGTAACACCCCCATCCAATAGGATACCAAAAACTTTAGATATAAATAGAACAAAACAGGAGCCTGCCAGTTATAAATTTTTGAAATCCAAAACATCGTTAGATTTACGATCGTCCAATCCGAATAAAGTACAAATTATACGAAATGAAGATGGAATACCTTATGTAACCCCAATTCAGCGATATGAATTACAACTTTTGCTTATGGAAGATATTTTGAAAAACGGGATCTCAGGGCATGACGCACCCATCACGACTGCAAAAAAACTGTGCGAGAGTTTGGTTAGTTTTACCGTTAGTATCACGTCCGCAAAAAGGCATACGTTAGAAGATCAGGATATGTATTTTGATAATAGAAATGGAGTGCTGGTGGAAGTTTCTTCCCAAGAAAAGAAACTTCGAAGAAAGCGAGGTCTAGAAAAAGTACAATCCTTACCAGGAAAACTTGATCATGTCACTGTAGTGGCATACAATGTTGGGAATTTTGCTTTATAGTTCTCTAGTTGCAGTACAATTTTTTTTATTTATTTTTGAGTGTCGCTCGACGCAGCGATTATAAGTTTTAATTTTTTTGTTTCCAAATAGTATTTTTATGGAGTTGCATATCTACAAACAAATGGTTTAAATATACATCTAGTTTTTTTTAAGATTTTTAATTCAAGCGCTTTAGAACTCTTAATTTTCTTCATAGAATCCTCATTAACACCAAAAAGTATTTTTTAATACTGGTATAGTATAATTTTTCTCCTGTTAATTATATAGATATGTACCAAACTTTGAGTATTATAGGATTTTCCTCTTGGAAGTATTTTTAAATTGTAAGGAGAATATACCGATCTGGTCATCGAAACTGCGTGGTCTGGATTTTAACGTAAGAACGTATAAGATAGTGATGTAGACAGCTTAAATGAAAAATCAAATGTATTAAAGAGATAAAAGTTAGGTTGATACATACCACACAAGTAAATGTTTACGAAAAATGTTGCATCCAGAGTTTGAACTTTATTTTTCACAATTAGTTCATTTTATTACAGCTGTAATAGATTCAACCAACTGTTTTACAGAAATGAGCATTATTGAATAGCTTATACCGGGTGCGTCTCAAAAGTGGCTCACCCCTATAACTTCTCTATTCTTTTAGATAAAACAACGATATTTGGTATGTTAGTATGTGACATAAATTAGGATTGATTGACGTATTCAATTGTTTTCGGTCACTTCCGGTTTCCACGGAAATGACTACAACTTTTGATCTTTAAATGGCACAGTGGGTATTTTTTTTCTGTATTTGATAGAAAATGACACTCTGAATCAAATGACATATCATATATGTATGTCCACTTTTGGCATATTTGCTCAAAAACAAATCGAATTTTCAATTTCAATATAGAGTGCATGACTGTTAAAAACACTTATTTTTAATCAAGGAGCCTTGGAAAAATAGATTTGATCGTCTAATGTTTTTAATGTCTTGTTCTGGTCGGTTAAAAGATGCCCAAATCGTATTTTTAATCATATCTCAATTTTTTCAAGTGGAACGAGGGTGGCTCATTAGCATATTTGGAAAAGCATTTTTTTACGAATAATTTGATCCACACATTTGGTATTTCAAGTCAAATTGTCGTTATGAACTGCATGTTACAATTTCAAATAAACCATATGTGAAAATGTCAAAAGTTGACATGATATAACTAAAAAAGTTCTCTGTCGTATGTACAGACCACGAAAATAAAGTGACCAGGGCTAGGATATTTATACAGAGATAAATATTTATTCTTAGTATGAGATGGATTTAGAAATCTGGTTTTTAAATAGCAGTGGATTGATTTATCCTGATTTGTTGATTTGTTGAATTTGAATAGCTTTTCTAAGGAGTGTCTTATTTTTCTTCAAAGTACCTTTATATTATTTTTTTATATAAAAGGGAATTATATTGAGGAAACCATTTATTTTATAATAATATTTTTGCAGCTTTACTAATGATTATCAGAAAAGTAGGTTGCTATAATTTATGTTTAAATAAATACATGTATTTAATATTTTTGGAACTAAGTTTTCATGTTTTGATGTTATTTTCATTTTGTGATATTTTACTTAAGATATATTTTTTAATTTTATTTACCCTAAATTAATTTTCTATTATAAAATTTTTAATAATGACCCAAAAATTGGAATTTATACATATAATATTAATGACTGCCATAATTCTGTACCATTTTGTAGTAATTGAGGAAAACAGAAATTAATATTGTTTAATTTTAAGTGCAATAAATATTAAGTATCACATTTATTTTAAATAGATCACACTTCATCTATTAGATTTCTATTTTTATAAATCAAAAATATTTTTTATATTCATATGAATGTTAACTGTATATGTAATGTGTTTTCTTGATGGTAAGTTAATCTTGTTCAAGTCTTGTATTCCATTGATGTTTTTGTTATTTTTTTCTTTATTAATTAAATAAATGACATAATAATGTATTATTGTTTTTTTTAACTACACATCTTTAAGCTTCATACTCATTACGCGCTGAATCTGCAGTTCGTTCAATGAGAAAAACTCCAGGAAAAAAAAACACGTGATCAAGAAACACGAAAACCAAGAAAAATCTCAGAAGGCATGCTTAAACAACAATACCTATTTTTTTATCTCAACATAGGTGGCTTTGTCAAAGTTGATTTTGTCTTGTTTACTTTATTGGTTTTGAGACGCTTCTTTGACTTTTTGAAGTTGTAATTTGCATAATTTTGAGATTTTAGAACTAAGTTGGTGTTTTTAAGTATTTTGGGGTAAGTTCATAATATATTTACGTTCCGCGATTATACGGAAGAAAGTTTTGATAGAAAAAGGCTATCTCGGCTATCTTTTAAATGTTTCGTGAAAATTATTTTTCTTTTGTAAGACTGGATTTTGTAACTTGTCAAATACAGGATTTATTCGATTTTCGAAATACGAATAAGTTTTTATTATGAGCAATCCTTTTATCTAAAGAGCTATTCCAAAATTGGTTGCCGAGCAATGCCAAGAGCTTCAAAAATGATTTTTTAGAGACAATATCAGTAAATAAAAACGAAGTGTTTTCTATAGGCCTATTCTTTTGCCTAAATTTTCTAAAGTTTTGAGCTGGCTATGTGTTTGAGATTAATATCTTTTCGAAATTTCTGTAAAGTATTTAATAATAATCAGCATGTTTTTTTTTAAGTTAAAATCTACGCAAACAGATAATACAGGGTCCGGCAATAGTGCGTCGGGCACCTGGAGCTCCTAGAATAAAAAACTTGGAAATTTTGTTCAAGTTCATAGCTAAAGTATGTACTAGGATGTATTTCAGGAAAATATTTTAACTTCTATAGGATGGCTCAAAAACACGTGTGTGGATCGGCATAATTTTTTTAAACGGAACACCCCGTATATTGCATTTTTGGCTTCCTTTTAGATCACTTTATATAATCCTAAGATATGAGTAAATATATTTCAGTAGTTTCGGAGATATTAATAAATAAATAAAAAATATATATTTTCAGCCTTTCTTAAAAAAAATATTAAAAATAATAGAACTGTCCTAAAATCAACACTATAATATTAGGTATTTACTTTAGATGGTCTGTACTTACTTTGCTGTAGGTATGGAAATCGTAAATCATACAGGATGTTCAAAATTCTACGCTAAACTTTTTAAAATATAAAATAATTTTTTTCGTTTTTTTTAAAGCGAAACAACCTGTATTATTTTTTCAATAGATGGAGAATTAAAAATGAAATAATTGATAGATAGATGCAGAATTAAAAAATAAATACAAAAAATGTTCATTTTTTAACTCTTCGTCTAATAAAAAGTAATATACCGGGTACTCCATTTAACAAAACACAGAAAAATTATTTTATATTTTAGAAAGTTTGGCGTAGAATTTTGAACATCTTGTACGATTTACGATTACCATATTTACAGGAAAGTAAGAATAGACCATCTAAAGTAAATACTTAATATAGTTTTGATAACAGTTCTTGTATTTTTAATAATTTTTTTAATTAGGGCTGAAAAATATATACAGGGTGGACCGAATTGTATTCCAGAAACTTCCGGAGCATATTCTGCAGATAAAAAGAAGTAAAAAACTTCTTATAAATGTATGTCCTAAAATGCTTAGTTTCGGAGATACAGGGTGTAGAAGTTTCATTTTTATTTCGATTTTTTCCAAATAATTTCTGAAGTAACGTCAATATTTGGATGAAAATTGGTGTCTGTTAGTTTTTTAGCATGAGAAATTTGATTTTGATGTCATTATGACTCCTATTTGTAGAGGGCGCCACCTACATGTGTTTAAACTGTTTTGAAGAGTAATAACTTTTTGTGTGTACCTATATAGAACTGCTGAGTGCAAAAATATACATTTTCGTATTTTTTTACGTAAAAAATGTCTCTTGGTAAAAATCGTTACGAGCAACCCTTCTCGAGATATTTAGAATGTAAATACATGTCATTATTGACAAAAAATAAACATGTTGAGTAGATAGTTAATTATTAAATAAATTTGGAAAATTTTTATTTTTTTAAATTAATCATAAAATTTTCTTTGAAAATATGATGATTGATGATGGTTTGGCACAAAAACATTTCAAATTTATGATTTCCATCTATTAACTATTTAGTCAACATGTTTAATATATGTTAATGATGACAGGTATTGATAATTTTGATTTCAAATATCTCGAGAACTATTACTCGTAGCGATTTTTATTAAGAGATCTTTTTTACGATAAAAACGTCGTAAATGTATATTTTTTTAATTAGTAGTTTTATACAGGTACGGACGAAAAGTTATTACTCTTCAAACCAGTTAAAAATATGTAGGTGGCGCCCTCTACAAGTAGGAGCCATATTGAGAATTTCTCATATCAAAAAACTCCCAGGCACCCAATTTCATCCAAATATTGATGTTACTTCAGAAATTATTTGGAAAAAATCGAAATAAAAATGAAACTTCTACACCCTGTATCTCCGAAACTAAGCATTTTAGGTCATACATTTATACGAAATTTTTTACTTATTTTTATCTGCAGAATATGCTGCTGAAGTTTCCGGAATACAGTTTGGACCACCCTGTATTTTTGATTAATTTATTAATATCTCTGCAACTGTCGAAATATATTTACTCATATCTTAGGATTATGTAAAGTAATCTAAAAGGAAGCAAACAATGCAATAATATACAGGGTGTTTCATTTAAAATAAATCATCCAGATCCACTTTTTTGAGCCACCCTATAGATAGAAGTTAAAATATTTTTCTGAAATACATCCTGGTACATACTTCAGGTTTGGTTTGGTTAGGTTTTTTATTCTAGGAGCTACAGATGCCCGACGCACTATTGCCGGACCCTGTATATCAATAAATTGAAACATCCTGTATAAAACAATGCAGAATAAAATTAAAATAATTTGGCGAAGGCGCCGGGAAATGACGATCCTTTAATAATCTAAAAAATATATAGTAAGTATAGCAAGCCGAATAGAATAATATACAGGGTGGTCCGAACTGTACTCCGGAAACTTCGGCAACATATTCTGCAGATAAAAATAAGTAACAAAAGTTCATATAAGTGTATGTCCTAAAATGCTTAGTTTCGGAGATACAGGGTGTAGAAGTTTCATTTTTATTTCGATTTTTTCCAAATAATTTCTTAAGTAACGTCAATATTTACTAGATGAAAATTGCTGTTTGGGAGTTTTTTGACATGAAACTTTTGATTTTGATATCAATATGACTTCTACTTATAGAGGACTTATACAGGACTTATACTTATACAGGTACGGACGAAAAGTTATTACTCTTCAAACCAGTTAAAAATATGTAGGTGGCGCCCTCTACAAGTAGGAGCCATATTGAGAATTTCTCATATCAAAAAACCCCACCAAATTTCATCCAAATATTGATATGTTACTTCACAAATTATTTGGAAAAAATCGAAATAAAAATGAAATTTCTACACCCTGTATCTCCGTAACTAAGCATTTTAGAACATACATTTATACGAACTTTTTTACTTATTTTTATCTGCAGAATAAGCTGGTTCGATCTTGGGGCACCAGGGGGCACCCCATTGTATTTACCCCTTACTTCTTTGTAGAAGTGGACCGACTAACTCTTGCGGCGAAGTTGGAGTGCCAAACACCAACCGTTGAAGGGTTGGATACGGAGGAAGAACATCTGTTGTCAGAGGAGGATGGGAAATAGCCTGCCCCCATATAACAGGTGAGCAGGCACCCAGAGTAGGATGACTTTATTTTTTTTTGTCTAATTTGTTGAGCTTCTCTAGGCATTCTTTGACCAACTTTGAATTGATGGTTACTGAGTTGATCGCGTTTAGTGCTGCTTGACTATCGGATAAATGGCTATTTCGAGTTTTCGATAGTTCTTATCTAAGGTAAATTGTATGCATCTTTCGATAGCGTAGAGCATAGAGTTCTGCCTGAAGGATGCTGGGGTAGGTGCCCATTGTATTTAGTTTTTCTGTCCCTGCTTTGGTTTTGGAAGCATCAATATACCACTACGTTATGGTATGGTCTTTTACATGCTGAGCAAAGGTTTCTTCCTTTCAATCTCTTTTATTACTCAATACTACAGTGAGGCGAGGTGTTCCTCAAAGTTGTAAATTCTTGGTATGTCATCCACTGGGAGTTGGATAAGTGGAATTTTCTTTTTGAGGGTGTTCCAAGCCCCTGACCTGAAAATTCTCCCAGTACTGTTTCCATCAATTACCATTCTAATCATTGTCGCATTGGCATAACTACCGACGACAATTTGCAGTGGTGTTATGTCCAGGATGACCTCCAATTGCTGCTGTTGGACATGTTATCATGGCATCTGTAATGCAGATACTGCCAGTCTCTGTACTTTGCACAGGTTTTGCCTTGCTGTACTTTGCTCTAGTTTTGTGTACCAAGCAACTGCTCCAAAGGTAATCATGGGTCTTACCATCATGGTATAGATTCAGCGCAAATTCAAACCAAACCAAACTAGTCTTCTGCATATCATGAGAGCCTTTGTCGCTTTGCTGGTAATGTTCTTAATATGTCTGTTCCAGAGAAGTTAACTGTCCAGGGTTATTTCTAGATATTTCACTTCCTGCGATGGCAGTATTTCTTTTCCATCTAGATGGATTCTTTTCAAGTTTTTCAGACTTCGCTTTTTGGTGAATGGCACTACCGCGGTTTTGTCTGAGTTGATGCTCAGCCCGACAGTCCTGCACCATCTCTCAGCCATGCGGAGCCCTCTTTGGATAATATCACACAGGGTTGTACAGTTTTGGTACCTATCTCAGTGATATATGATATGATATATATCTCGGGGATATAGGCGAGGGCAAAAGCGACGACCTAAAAAAACGGCTACTCTGCAAACAATTACACATCGAGTTGGCGAGTCATCAACTTGAGGGAGGAGGGCCATAGTCAGGTCCTCACAATAGGAATTGACCTCAAATCCAAGGAGACAATAGAGAAAGATGGACATATCCTCTATTATAGATACGGGACAACACCGGTATCACGGTCCAAGGAGATACCAAGTTAAAGAGGTGGAGAAAATGAAGACAGGTCCTCCAGCCTCCACCTCACGGGTTCCTCAGCCGGTGGCAAGCTCCTGGACTGTGAAGGGCGACACGGATTGCCAAACTCCAACCGTGGAATGGTGTGTACCCTCGGAGGAAGAACGGTTGTCAGAGGAGGATGGGAAATACCCTGTCCCCTCTAGAACAGGGGTATGATGGGTTATAGACTGTGTGATGACTCAAGGAAGGGGAGCACAATAGATCTTTAGTCGCAGTGAATAACGAAATAGATCTTTAGTCGCAGTTTGTAGAATGTAGAATGAGTAAGAAGGGGGGTTACCCTTCTTACTCATTCTACATTCTACAAACAATTACACCTCGTAAATCAAGGGAAATATCACAACATAAACGAATTAAGCTGAATTAAAAAATATTATGGAATAATATTAAGCATAAGTTCGTATTTTTTTTACTTTGTGAACTATATAATATTTAGTTTATAATTTGATTAGCGCTTTCCGGGATAGTATAATGAAATTCCGGGATTCGGAACAAATTACCTAAAACAGTGATTTTCCCGGAAATCCCGGACGCTTGACAACTAAGGTCCTACCGAGATCTCGGTCTTGGTCTCGGTATATAAAGGCCAAGATTGGCTAATAAAGGCCAATACATGGCCGATTTTTTAGCGTATTGCTCCACTTATCGATGTGTGGATACAAATCGAATGCGAAATACGTGTCCGAAGTCGAAAAAGATAAAAGAACGGATCATATCTGATCCATATATGATCTGATCGAATCACGAAGGGGATTTCTTCTGGGACGGCTGAAGAATCGCCTTCGTATTTCTATGCGTAAACAATGATCGAAATATAAAAAATGTCTATACCTATGTGTCGGATTCATCTCTCCAAAAAATCCTGTATGGCTATTTCGCCACTGCAAGAAAATCTACAAAATAAAATAGTTATTTTATGTAAACCCTTCTGTGTTAATCCCAAACGGAAACTACTTGTCAGAAGTTAGGTTTAAATAATAAGGTTTTATTTTTTTTTAATATATAGGTTTTTTTAATTTAGGTTGTTCATGCATCTGTAGATGTTAGTAATGTATGGCAATCGCTTTTTTGATTTTAAAGAACATAACATAAATAAACATAACATACGTAAAAATTAAAAATAATCATACAGAAAGTTTGGGGCTTTTTGGTTTTACCTTACTAAGTAATTGTGATCAGGTAGTAATTGTTAACTTTGAAGTTTAACCTGATATAATGTCATTTTAACAGAACGTCAACGGTTTCTTGTAGACGTATCTGTTTTAAAAAAAGTACAGTGTTCTCAAATAGTTGAATAATTGAAATATTTTAAATAGTTTTTTTTCTTTATTCTTTGTATTATTTTGCTTCCGACGACGGAAAGAGATAAACTTTCCGAAACGTTAAGCATTTTTTTGTTAGTTAGGCAAATCTGTATGTTTTTAAAACTAACTTCTGACAATAAGTAGTTTCCGTTTGGGATTAACGCAGAAGTGTTTACACAAAATAACTATTTTATTTTGTACATTTCTTTGCAGTGGCGAAATACCCATATACAGGATTTTTTGGAGAAATGATCGAAATGTTAGATGTTAGTGTCTTATTAATGTAAGTTTTACAAATTTAACAGAATTGTGCTTTTATATGAATTACTGGTATATCTTACTAATAAGTAAAATTTTTGTGTGTTTTCATTCATCTCCATACAGAGTTCTAAAATCAGCAGCTTATAAATTTCCTGTCTGCACAAGGTCTGTACCACCAACACAAGCGTCTTTAGCAAACAATAACTATTTAGAAAGAATATGATAAAACACTGCATAATTTCAAAGGATGCAATGCTGAAAAATTATTTTTTTCGCCTATAACATAAACTAAAAAAGTAATTTTATAGTAATCAATCCCAATAAAACTGTTTCTGCATGAAAATACCTAACTTTTTTATTACATTATTATCATAATTTTTTTCATAAAATAAATTATTGAATAAATTTGCATCATGTTTGGTCTCGTTCTCGGCCGAGAATTTCTTTTTTTCTCGGTCTCGGCCGAGACTAAAAATCCAGGTTCGGTCGGACCTTACTGTGGACCTTACTGACAACCCTATCCGGAAGTATAAAAAGACATTACTGCTGTATAGTCTGTTTAGGCACAAGAGCGGGCGCCTAGCGTCGGGCGACCAAGTGGCGGTGGAACTTACAAATATAAAAATGATCATGGAGGAGCACCTCGCGAGCAATCGGCGACGACCCGCGCGTTGAAACGCGCTCCTCTGTAACCGTGGCCTCTGTATTCATTACGTAAATCTAAGACCGGCCGGCATATTTCGGGTTTCGCGGCTATTTCGCCTTTTTCTTTTCGGTTTTAGCGCGATTTGTGAATGAAAGTTTAGTTGATTCGTCTTGAAAAGACTTTTTACAGTGTTTTTGGACTTATTGCCTAGTTTGACTGGAGTTTGCGAATGACGGTGAGTCTGTAATTTGATTTAAAGTAATGTTCTGTTAGTATTAAATTTTATTGATAAAAATCCGTGTATAAGTACTCATAGAATGGAAATATTTATATGTAAATTATGATAATTATAAAGACAAATTTAAAAAATAATATATTTTAAATATTTTGTGAAAATAGTGAAATTGCTGGATATGAATTAAAAAAATTATGATTTTGCGGTTTATTTATAGCATATTATTCTTGCAAGAATAATTTAGACAATTTCTAATAATACAGAAAAATTATCAATTTAAAAAATATATGCTATGCTACTACCCACAATTAAAAAGTAATTAAGAGTCTAGATGATTGAGAGAAAATATTGAATAGTTTATATTGATTCACATAATATTACAACAAATTTTGGAAATTATTTTATAAAAAATTTTGTTCAAAAAATTACAAATTTTTATTTTTGTTTCGCGAAAAAAACCTAATAATCGTGTTTTAGGGGTCAAAATATACTACCACTAAAAATATTTCTATTTATTTTAAGACTCACCCTGTATAATATATCAACAATTGATTTCATAGATATGAAAAAAAAATCTGAACCAAACTTATTTAAATATATAAAACATGTAGAAAAATAATGAATGGACTTAATTAAAAAAAATAAAGAATGTTAAAAAAGTGTTTAATATATTCCGATAAAAAAAAGATAGTAAATGTCGAGGTAAATGTCTTTAGAAAAATAAAAATTGATATAATTTTTATAGTTCACTTTTAATATCTTTATTCATTATATTACATGGAATTTTAAACAGCATTTTAATTTATTAACAATTAATCTTATACATTTATTCTCAGTATTTTAATATTATCAATAACAATAATTACCCAAAAATTTGTTTCTGAATGGATGCTATCAAAACTTATCAGCCTTTATTTCATAATATACTAATATGCTTGGATTAAAACAGGCTATCCAAATTATTTTTATTAAGATTTTGATTGGCGTATTTCTTGAACATAATTTTTTTGTTCACTGGATATACAGGATGAGTCTTAAATTTGTGCAAATATTATTAAGGGTAGTAATCAAGGGTATGTTTCGACCCTAGAGTTAAGACTCACCCTGTATATATTTTTATACCATTAGGAAAAAAACGAAATCGCCTAAAAATGGATATTAAATTAATAAAAAATAGTGTTTACGATAAAAACCAATACTCTGTAGTACATAAAAAAGGCCGTAAAATCTGTTTTACCCGGCTGTATTATTTATAAACAAAAATTTGCTCCACTGGTCATTTTGCGAGCTTTTAATAGTTTTATTTAACGATTTCGCGAAACCCTACTATTACAAATCGGCGATATTCAGCCAGCACGTGTAAAGTAGTAAGAAAACTTTCAATTATACCAGTGCTAGATGCCTGATTTAAAATTTATATTAATTTAAAAATAGCTCTGTCCTTGTAATATTAAAATTTTCGGCTGGTAGTTTTGCGTTAAATATTCTTTACTTAAATATTGACTAGGAATAATAATTGGCTAAGTAATTAATACTTTTTTTTCGATGCTAAGGCTATTAGTATAAAATTAATAAGAAGATTAAAACGCGAATTAATTTATAACAGTAATTTTCTTCATTATTTAAGATTTTAATTCTTCTATTATTGTTATATTTCTGTTCTGTTTCATACAACCGTTATTCCGATTTGATTGAAATTTTGGCTGTCTATGTTTTGCTAAGTGCTTTAACATTTGAATTTCACAAAAATCAAGAAAATGTACAGGAAGGATGAAACATGTCACAGTTTTGTCACATCAAGCTATGGCTGCGCATAAAATCAATTAGGCTCTAATAATCTAGTGGGCGAAAATAATTTTTGAAAATTTATGTAGGTCTCAAAAATTATATTTGACAATAAGCTTCATAAAAAATTAATAAATTTTAATTTAATTAACGTTCGGGTTTATTTTTTATTGATGCCCTCTAACGGACAAACGAATCACTTTTGTATGAAGATACATTATGTGCAATTAACTTATTTTGATTCCAAAAATACGTAGTCCTTATATGTCTACGGAATATTGGAACTCCCTGTATATTTTGTCTATTTCAGTCTACTTTGGAAAAATCAAACCAAACCCAAATATTTTTTTCTCAAAAACTATGCTAACAAGTAATGCGGTGTGGCGTCTTTTCACATGAGAAAAAAAAATGTAGTAAATAGTAGAGGGACCATTTTACGAAAAGAAAATTTGTCGTCGGTAAAGTTGTAAAATATTTATACTAAACTTTATGTAGGGGTGGGGGTAGTTTTCACCCTTCCCGTACTTTTTCTTGGTTTTTGCGAAAGTCAAATGTTAAAGCACTTAGCCAAACATAGTCATTCAAACTTATTTTGATTTCAAAAATACGTCCACGGAATACTGGGACCTATAGTAATAAAGGATATGTTCTCTCATTATTTTTTCATACTTTTTCCTTTATAGCCAATGTTTTGCATTCTCTATAGGAAAATGATTGTATGTAGTTTCAAGACGGAGTTTTTTAAATTTGATTAATAGCTTGATATGTTTGATGTTTGTTTTTTAAATGTCAGTAGTATATTTAGATATTAGTAGCGCATAAACATATTTTATTATAAGAATAAGATCTGTTATATATTTAGTAATCACAAAATGCAATAAAATGTTTTTATTTTAAAGTATCAGGTGATACCCCAATAAATGCAAAGTCATGTAAAACTGGTTCAAAAACCTCAGCAATAAAATTTTGTCAATCGGCAATTAGTTTCGTCAATATGTTATTAGCACACCGAATTTGTCATAACCACCTACCTTTTTCTCGCTATTTTCCTGTACTATTAAAAAAAATTGGCAAGTAAATTTATACACTATTACCTTGCTATTATAATTATAGCGTCAAACGTAAATCGTATTCTGAAATAGTGTTAAGTACTAGAATTTTACAAATTTAGCTCACGGAAGTGAAAAGTTACAAAGAAACGAAATGAAGTTGTTAACTGTATCTAATTTGATATATTAGCAAAATTGTACTTTCTTTTTCACGTCAAAAGCTTCATTCAGAACCTCGAAATTAGCGGAAAAATATAGTGGATTCAGTTAGCGTAAAAGTTTGTCTCTTTAATTTCAATGTAATCATTCAAAGAGTTAAAATTAGTGGTAGTAATTTTCAATGAATAGGAACAATTAACAAACTTTTAACTTTTACCACTTATTAAACTTCAAAATTTGCATCATAGTCCAGTACTACTCTTCCAATGGTCTAAGACACTCGAAAAAGTTCCTCAGAAATTATGACCGAGAAAAATCAAAGGTTTTCCTTGATTTAAGTAAAAACAATCTTCGGGTATTGCCCACGCGGTTTCTAACTAGAACACTGTCTCCTCAACGAAAACCTCAGTAGGCTGAAGCTGAGAAACAACGGCGAATGCAGATTCTGTGGGGAAAATGGGGAAACAGCAGAACACCTTATCACTGATTGCGCCGAGACGACGACCGTTCGTTTCATGAACTGTGGTACGGCTGATGTCGAGGATGGAGAGCTGGCCTCTGTGGAGCCGTCTCAAATACTGGCTTTTGTTAAAGCCCTGAGACTGTATGATGAGTTATAACTCGTTATAATTCAAGAAAGGGGAATACACAATAGATCTGTAAGGTCGCGGTGATTAACTCCCCTCCTAGGCATTCTACATTCTACATTCTACATTCTACATTCTACATTCTACATTCTACATTCTACATTCTACATTCTACATTCTACATTCTACATTCTACATTCTACATTCTACATGCTACATTCTACATTCTACATTCTACATTCTACATTCTACATTCTACATTCTACATTCTACATTCTACATCATAGTTAAGGAAAGGACACTAAAAGACTCAAGTCTCGGCATAATTCGTCGACCATGACTTTTTAAGCAGACTGTGTACCTTTTGGGGAATATTGTAACACCGTGCATCGGGCTCGTAAAAGTGATCCCTAATGGCCGAAAAATCAGTTTTTCGTAAATATCTGCCAAAATACACAATTTGCAAAATTTTTCTGAGAATAAAATAATTACTTATAGAAATGGTCCATTTTTTACGTAGAATTAGTAGTTTTCGAGATATTCCGCCTTGAAGTTCCCTGAATTTTCTCCCCATGTCTTATCGCTCCGGAGATAGATTTCATAAGCGATCATTTAATAACTCGGCTAAAATTTAATATTTTCTTATGATTCAAAGCTCATTTAAAAGGTTTAAAAGGTAGAATCAACAGCTATCAGACACATTTGGAACTTGTTTGAAGTTTGTCATATTTCATAATAATAAAAAACCGGGCAAAAATTCCTTTTTACTTTTTATATTAGGAAATATTAGAAATATTTATTACTTATTACTTACTTTATACTAGGAATATTTATTATTATTTATTTTTATTATTAATAATAATATCCTATTTGTCACTATTTTTTTAATAGTTTTTCTTAGAGTCTCTTTAAGCAACTCAGAAAGTGTGAAGTATTTGTTTAAGCACATTTCAATAAAAAGACAACCATTCGTGCGCCTTTTCGAGGCCTTTTCCGCTTTTTTAGAATTTCCGGAAAGTATTGTAAACAAAACAAAGTTGCATATCTATACTAATATACATATAAAATCCTTAGGTGACTGACATATTGATTAATCACGATCCTGCTCAAACCACTCAACGTAAGAAGCTCCATTCTGGCATACAGATTAATTCTAGGGTGTAGAGGTTCGATAAGAAGGGATTTTTCGAAATTCCAGTTCCAAGAGGGTGAAGCCACCCCTCAAATATTACAATATTTTTTATTTAAAAAACGGTCAAGTTTTTGAAAAAAACGCTTAAACACGTATATTTTATGTTGTTTTTTATATATTTTAAGATTTTTATTGATTAATCACGATCCTTAAAGCTTAAAGCACTTGACGTAAAAAGCTGATTTTTGGAAAATAGATTGACTTTAGGGTGTAGAGGTTCGATAAGAA